CAGGCAAGGCGGCTCCTGGGTCCCGGAGTGCCGCCTTGCCTGTGGCCTGGTTTCCAATCACGATCACGATCATAGCCGCAGGGTCCTGCCGCCCAGGGCCGCACACTGGGGTCCTGGCTGGGGGCAGGGCTTAGGCGGCACACGGGCGCCTGGATGGCGGCTCCCGTTGGCCTGCCCTGCCTGCAGTATGCAAATTAGCCTCCATCTTTGTTGGCGTTTAATTTGCATATCACGCTGATTAGCCAATGGGAGGCATAGCGAAGGTACAGTCAATTACCATGTTTGTCTATTATTAGATAGGATTCTCTTAAACCTACAGTCAAATGGACATAGTAGGGGTGGTACATACTATTATGCACTTTATGTGATTATCTGTTACTTTGGAAATACAGGCTTTCTTATTCTGTCACTGATTCACTCCTTTTAATCTTCCTCCCATTACCTCAAACTTATTCATCAAAACAATTCTCTCCTCAGATATCTGAGTTATCTTTCATTTACAAAATGACAGAAACCCAATTCAAACAAATGTAAGGGAAAACAAATTTGAGCAAAAGTGTATGTGATTAGGATGTCAGGGTTTGGGATAATGTTAGTGATTGCTTCCACCAATTTTCTTAACTTTTTAGAATGAAGAACTCTACAGCTACTATTTTCAGAGCACTTGGGCAATTTCTTTTTCAGTTTACATTAAAATAGCAATGTGCTATATGTAATGTGCTGATGTCAGTGTGCTACAATGTAATTTGTCTTGATGCTGAGAGTTTTTGCTGTGGGGTGCCGTCATTTGTGATGTAGAGTTTGGGTCGGAAGAGTCAGAGGGGGAGGTGATATGGGTGGAAATTTGGAGTGGTGGCAGAGAGCAGCCATTTTTGCCCATCAGCCTTTCAAAGAAGCCCAGGTTGCTAAATCCATGTGTTTGTGGTATTTGATGTGTGTGTGTGTGTGTGTGTGTGTGTGTGTGTGTGTGTGACACAGAGGAAGAGAGGGAGAGGTATGGAGGGGTGGGGTAGAGCAGGGTGGGGTGTGGTTGGGAGAGCTTATGGCTTTATAACATGTTTCTACAAATGGTACCTGGGGCATAGTGAGCCTTTATGTTCCAGGAGCTTAAGAGAGGGGACAGAAAACAGAATGATCTTAGTGATGAATTTTGCCATTATAAGAGATGACACCATTCCATAGCATGTCAACCAAAGGTACCTCTAAACAAGGACAAGTAAGCTGAATTTATAATATAGTTCAAAATGAAGACTCCAGATGAAAAAAATCTAATTAAAAATCAGTGTCTTTATTTTAAGGTTTCCCGTAGAATAAAAATATTTCCCCAGAACAAGATAGAGATGAAGCCCTAGCCAGTTTGGCTCAGTGGATAGAGCCTCGGCCCACGGGCTGAAGAGTCTCCAGTTCAATTCAGGTCAAGGGCATGCACCTCAGTTGCAGGCTTGATCTCAGGCCCTGGTTGGGGCATGGGCGGGAGGCAACCAGTTGATGTGTCTCTCTCACATTGATGTTTCTCTCTCTGTCTCTCCCCTTCCTACCACTCTCTCTAAAAAAAAAAAAATCAATGGAAAAATATCCTCATGTAAAGATTAAAAAAGAGAGAAAGATGAAAAAGTAAAGAACAAAAGATAATTCATTTCAGGAATAAATTTAGTATCCTAAAATTTGAGGTTTTTCGACTTAAGACTTCTCAAAAAAACTATTGGCACCACCTTTATTGTAAACTAGGGGCCCAGTGCATGAATTTGTGCACCTTGGAAGGAACTGTGGGCCGCGAGGCTGCAGTGGGCACAGGGGCAGGTCTCGCCCAATCCTCTGCACCCCCGCCTGGCCTTTCCTGCCACAGCCCCCGGTCCCTGTCTGCCGGCAGCCCTGCTCCCACCACTGCCACTCCCATGTGTTGATGGCACTGGCCCTGCTCATACCTGCTGACGGCGTGATCGCCTCTCAGGAGCAGGGGGAGGTGGAGAAGCCCCGAGTGGCAGCCGACACTCACACCTGCTGACGGCACTGAGGGATTGGGACTGGCGCTGGGCACTGGCAGTGGGTGTGAGCAGGGCTGGCGCCAGCAGCAGGTGCGAGCGCCAGGCAGGACCGCGGCGTGAGGGAGCAAAGAATTTTCAGTAACCACCAGAGGCTTTCCTTAATGCCAGCAACTGGCGCCCTGCGTTGGTCTAGCACCCCCACTCGGTTGTTCGGTTGTTTGGTTGTTCCGCCATTTGGTCTATTTGCATATTAGGGTTTTATATATATAGACTAGAGGCCCGGTGCACA